TTTTTACATTAAACTGGGTCTGTTCCCTATATTAATAACACACAAAAAGATCATTCCCTAAACTTTCAAACCCCTCTATAGGTTTGAGACAAGTCACTAGTTCCCATGAAACTAACAAGAATTGCCTCTTGACAAAACGATGCATGTGCAAATTTCAACAACCATATGAAATTAAGACCATTCCCTAATCTTAATATTCATGCGTATCTTCAATAATTCATCACACTTGAATTGCCACACATTTGCACATACACACATACTCCTAAACTATTCACATACAATTCATGCATATCTTCAACAATTCATCACACTTGAATTAACACACAATTGCACATACAAACACATTTTCAAAATCATATCATTCTTACTTCAAACATTACCACCAAGCTTAGCAAGTCATACACAAAGTATCAAAACAATCCACCTCAATTCACAAAACACACGATATCGGTTAAACATAGAAAAATCAATCGATCATCAATAATTAAAATTCAATGTACAATAAATATTCAATATTCAGTAATTATTCAATGTTCAATAACTATGTTGATTATTTTAATATAGTTCCTAATCCATAAAATTCATCATATTAATTGGCCTCTAATGTGTGTTTGGTAGTGTAATTAATTCTAAGAGATACTAGATAACAATTTAATACCACTTATTTTACTTGTTGCTACAATATCAATTATATTAATATACCATTTGTTCGCTACATTATTATATGATACTATTATGTGATAAGGCTATCACATTTTGATTAACTCCAAGTGCTACTATAAATGATCGTGTTTTGTTTGATTTCAAAAAGGGGATTAATGATCCTAATTTCAAGAGCAGTTTTTTTTCCGTTGATATATATATATATATATATATATATATATATATATATATATATATATATATATATATATATATATATATATATATATATATATATATATATATATATATATATATATATATATATATGGGCGCTACAGGACTAAGGTTCTACCTTTCCATGTTTTGTGGCTACGACACTATTCATTAATTGTTAAGAAACTATTATATTAATAATTTTAAATAACAAAACCTAAAGCCATTGAAGAGTCAATAGAAATTAAATCGACATCAGCTCACTAGTCTTGTCATGGTACTTTGCACAACAGCAACTGGACAATATGCCTCTTAGCCCATTTATGAATGGAATACAATAAGCCTACACCAATGTAGCAATTCACTAAAATATGAGTAATACAACGGCGAGCACAAAGAAATAGTTGCACTTTACTAACTTTTCTCTCTTGCAAATGAAAAGATTTCCCAACTATTTCTTACCGACTATTGCGTGTGTTCAACCATAGCAAACTATTCTCTTTCCTAAAAATAATTAGTAAACAAACATGGACAAAGAAACTAACTCGTGTTTTTATGGTACGAGTAGAGGATAAAATTAGAAGACACACTGATATGAATTTACTCATATGCTCGTCTATTAGAGGACTTAATAAATAAAATGAGGTCATTCCTCTGTCATGAATTAAATTTCATTTAAAATTGTTAAAACAATTGTGAACATATTATCTAACATAATGTGCTAGACAGAAGACACACTTACTATGTATATTTATAATAGACTCTTAATCCTAATTAAACAAGGAAACAAATAAAAGAATATGGAAACAATCCTAAGAGATCCTTGTGATGTCGAAAACTATTCTAAAATGCCATTTGTTCTCAATATCACCAATTTATATCAATTTCAAACACAATTAATCAACACATATCAAACATTATCATAAAAACCTAACAATTACAAAATCATAGAAATTTAGGAATTTCATTCTAAACACATTTCTACTTATTATACCCTATCATACAATCCCAATAATTATATAAAAACTCACCCTTACCTTAAATTTTTGATGGGTTCTTGAGTTCTTGTTCTTAATTTTCTCTTCTTCTTCTCTACTTCTCTCTCTGCCTCTTTTCCTCTTTCTATCTCATAACCATGCTCTATCTCTTTCTCTTATGTTATAAATCTCACAATTATCCTTATAATTCTATTGGACTTACTAACCCACTCTCACACTTAATATTCACACTCCCAGTCTAGGCCCAGTTAATCATTTTCACCAAATCTATTTATTTCACCAAAAAATCATATTAAATTAATTAAATCCAATTAAATCAAATTAATTAATAAAAACAAATAATTCAAATAAATCTAATAAATCAATTAATTTAATTAATTCAAATAAATAATATAATTGAATTAAATCAACTAGACACAAGATCACACAATTAATTAATTAATATAATAAATAAATAATTACTAAAAATTGGGGTGTTACACAACTGCTGATTCCTTTTGTAGCGAATGTTTTTTAAACGTCTCCCAACATCTCTTTTGAAGCTTCTCAAAGGACTCTTTTATTGCATCTATAATGACTATTTTCTTTGCTATTTAAGCAGCTAAAAGACTCGAAGAAAAATAATACAACAAATGTAACATATGGAATACACGTTGAACATGCTAATGCAGAACGATTGACAAATTAAATAAAAGTTACTCTGTCAAAGTTTTAGCACAAGCTAAACTTAGGATTTCTTACCCTTGTATGACTTAGAAATCCTTAAGTCATAAAAGATTCATATTGAGTTGTATTATTTATACACCTCTGATTGTATATCAAGTGTATTTACCTAATAATCATGTATCTCTAGGTAGATTGTTATAAGTCTCTTACTAAGTGTTTGAGCAAGGAAGTTTTTAGATTGTGCTATAGCAAGAAAGTCTCGGACTTGTGTGTTTGAGTAAGGAAGTCTTTAGCTTGTGTGTTAGAGCAATGAACTCTTGATCTTATGTGCTTGGTCAAGGAAGTCTCATACTTGTGTATGTAAGTAAGAAAGTCTTAAGCTTGTGTGATTGAGCAAGGAAGTCTCGTACTTGTGTGTGTGTGTGTGTGAGAGAGAGAGAAAAAAAAGTCTTTAACTTGTGTGTTTGAGCAAGGAAATCTAACACTTGTATGTGTGAGCAATGAAGTCTTGAGATTACATGTTTTAGCAATGAGGTCTCATGCTTGTATGTGTGAGCAAGAAAGTATTGAACTTGTGTGTTTGAGTAAGGAAGTATCATACTTATGCGTTAGCAAGGAAGTCTTGAGCTTGTGTGATTGATCAAATAAGTCTCTTGCTTGAGAAAATTTTAATCTTGTTTGATTATAGTAAAAATCTCTCGTAAGTACAAGCGGACTGGACTACTCTCAATTTGTGAAAGGAACCAAGATAACTCTGTGTGTTATTCTTCTTTCTCGTACTTTATATCTGCTGCCTATCTCTAACTAACTCATATTCTATAACCTTAAGTTTAGAATATGACTTAAGAGTTCTAAAAGAAAGAAAATGCCAACACAATTCAACCCCTTTCTTGTGTTTTTCTCACCTCTAGTTGGCATCATAACATAGTCTGTGCTTAACACTTAATAATGCCACATAAAAAGATCATGAGAAAAACATATTGAGCCATATGTAGTGTTTTTAGATTAAAAAGTGGTAATCCTATTCCACATGCTACTATAAATCATCATTATAGCAATCTAGAAAAGAACAATTATACAACTAGACCTCAAACTTTCAGTGGATACTCTATTGAGTTTGAATGGTGGAAGAGCAAGATGTATACTCGTATCATGGGCCTTGATGATGAGTTGTGGGATACTCTAGAAGATGACATTGATATTCTAGTTAATGAAGTTGGAATGATATTTGATAGAAAAGTTATCACACCAACACAAAAAAAGGTCCATAGAAAACATCATAGAGTTAAAGGCATCTTGGTTAATGCTCTACCTCATCCAGAGTACATCAAAATCATTGACAAATCTACCGCTAATACCATTTTCGATTCCCTATGTGCTACTTATGTAGGGTATCAACAAGTTCAAGAAGCTAAGGCTAACCTTTTGGTTCAAGATTACGAGATGTTCAAAATGAAGGATTAGAACCATGTTTTTTAGGTTTCAAATTCTTGTATATGGACTTCAGGTTCTGAACAAGAGCTATACTACGTCTGACTATGTAAAAAAAGATTATTAAGAGTTATCTTGTTAGATACAAACCTAAAGTGACAACTATACATGAGACTAAAGACTTAAAGACATTAAGTCTTGAGAGTCTCATCAGTAATCTTCAGAATCATAAGATGGAGATAAATGGAGATTAACCTGTCAGAAAGTCAAAGCCTCTTGCAAGTAATTTCTATATATTAAATTCAAATAATTTAGATCTTCATATTATATATTTACAATTAAAATTGACAATATATTTCTTGTAGAATGAAATAAAACATCTATAGAAATATTTGTGAACCGTAGAATTAAGTTTGAAAATGCGAGGAAAACAACATACATCATATTAAGTTTATTGGATGAGTGAAGTTATAAGACCAATGATTAAGGCTTCCTTTGACGCTTTTGCACTCCACAGTCTTCTTTTTTGACTTCGATATTTATTTCTTAAATGGAGGTGACATGCGTTTCTCTGTTGTGACAAATTGGGAGAACAAAATGAATTTTACCATACTAAATATTTAAAGTGTCAAAAACAAATCAACAACATAATAATTAACGATCCACATGAAGTTAAAAAAAATTGAAAATAAAAATAAAAAATTTCACTAAACACTACAAGTAAACACATTGAGTGAGTCTTCGAACAAATTTTTATATGTAAGGAAGAAATCTGGAATATTATTTTTTACACAGGAGTAAAGGGAAAATCGTGTGGGTAAAAATAATATTAATCTTAAAAAACAACACTGCCTAATTATTTTTTATTATTTAAGTAATAAAATAAAACGGCAGCGTTTTTTGCTTAAGCACTCAAAAAGGCGGGAAATGTTTCCGCCACTTCAACTAAGATCCCAAAAACCCCACTCTCTGCAACTTCAACACCAAATTCCCCAAATCTCTGTTCTCTCAAAACCCTCGCAAACAATCTACCATATCCCTAACACCATGGACACGGATGGATTATCCCAAATCTGCAGCGGCCTCGGAGCCATTGAAGAAGACGATGAGGGAAACCGAATCGGTTACTCCAAAGGCGAATACTGTCTCGGTATGAATCTGTTGCATTTTGATTATTTTCTCTCGCTGTTTTTCTTTCGATTTGATTTATTGAAGATTTTCGGTGCTTAATTGGTTGTATTTGCTATCGAAATTATCAGATAACCTGAAAGACTTGCTGAGGTTTTTGAGACGTGATGACCCGCAAACACGTGACGTGTTCAAGCAAGTGTGCAAATGGAACATCGTTTCTAAGGATTTGGTACCGATTATCGAGCATTACCACGAAGATCGGAGCATGCTTCTGAATGCAGGTTTATAGTTTTCTAATTCGTTAATTTGCGTCCATATATTGACAATGATGTTAGCTGATTGAGATTTCATTGATTGGATTAAACGGCGTTGAGTATTTTTCTTGTTGAAATTTTCAGTGAAGGTTTTGGTGTTCCTTACAATGCCAATTGAGCCTGGTTCCACGGATGTATCTCAGCAGTTGGAGTATTTATGGGATTTGAAGTCTGCAGTGACTAACAGTGACGTTGCTACAGTGATAGTGTCCATTTTAGAGAAACCACTTGAGAATTTGGAACTGTGAGTTGATCAGAATTTCATTGTGCTTTTAATGATTTGAAAGATAGAAATTGGAAAGGTTACTCAGTTGTTTGGCTAGATTTATTTATTTATTTTATTTGTTTACAGTAATGCATTCACTGAGGATGATTGGAAATTGGTACAGCTGGTGTTTACATTATTTAGAAATATACTTGCTGTTCAAGAAATCCCGTTGCATCAGAAATCAGCAGGATCTGCTACTCATTTTTTATCGCTGAGAGATAGATTTCTGGAACTTTTGTTCCGTGAGAATGTGATGGATATAATCTTGGTTGTATCTCAAAACGTTGGCAGTTCTAATGTTTATCTCCGTCAGGATAATTTGCTTCTATTGGAAATATTCCATTACATTTTTATGGGTCAGGAGCCAGAGTTGATTGTCCGGGGCCATTTGAATGGATTGAAGGTAGCGTCACTCAACTTTGCCAACATCATATTTTAGTGGACCTCCCCCAGAGCACCCTACTAATTTATAATTTTCTTTGTAAAATGTTTTTTGCCAACATGGTTTACAAGGTTTTTGTGGATGTTACCTCTCGTGCGTGCTGTTATATCATAATTAGTATTCTTTGGCTGTGTTTTGTTTGGTCACTTACATTTCTTAGAGTTTTTTTCAGGTTGAGGAAGACTCCCAAGCCTCTCTTGATAGTCTCCAGTCCATCATGGAGGAAGAAAAGAAGAAAAGAGTTATTAACAGGCTTGGCAATGTCAGCCGGCATTCACAATTCAGTGGAACATTTGCACGGGTTACCATGGTACTAAATTTTCACCCATTGGACTAGTTTTTTAATGCTGTGGACTTGAATGACACTAGCCTATCATTTTTTGGTAGGATGGTTCTAAAGCCGTGTTTAAGGGGAATCCCAATTCTTCCCGTAATATGCATCTTAAATCACAAAATGTCATTCGAGGTCGAGCCAAAAAAATTGCGTGGGATCATCCAAGGTTGCCTTCAACAAAGGACAAGATCTTGGAGATGCTTAAAGGATTTGTAAATCAGTTTCTTTCAGGGGGATACAATGGTATGAATTTTAAGAATATGGTGTATCATTGGCGATGTGTGTGTGTGTGTGTCTGTATTAGTAGTCTCATTGTTAGTTAAATCTGTATCAGTTTTGATGCGATCGGTCCGTGAAGATATTGTAAAGGAACATCCTGCAATTCAGAAAAGTGATGTCGTTGTTTTCTTTCAAGTGGCTGACTTTATCTCTTCATTTCAGTTTTACAAGTATTCAACTTCAAAGGTGAGTATAATAATATGAACACAGCACATCTCTTGGCATGCCTTTCTCTGTTCCTCTTTCAAACTAAAGTACTTCATTCCACTCCTTGTGGATCTCTGATACAACTACATATTAACTTTTGATATAGAATCTCCACACATTTCTATTTATTTTTGCATTACTTAGCTTTTAGCAGTACACAGCATGTTGAAGCAAAGTTTTCATGTAATGATTGTCTGTACTTACAGTTTCTTATACAATGTGGGTATCAGTATGTTTCTGACATTAATATATCCTTGATATATCCTTTTTCCTCTTTTCTTTTAAAGAAATTATATTTTGACTTCAAATTCGACAACAAATTAGAGGGAGCAGAGAGCAGAGAAAATAGCTTTTCTGTGCATAACACGCTCATTTCCTTTTATTTATGTGGAGTCACTTCTAAACTGTTTTTTTATTTTTTTTATCTTTGAATTATTTCTCATAGCCATTAAAAATCTAATTGAATTGAATACATAAATATTGAGATATAATATAAAATCACTCAATATATTTTCCCAACCACTTAAGTTTTTGGGTTGTTTGGTCTTGTGATACATCAAGAAAGTTTCCACGACTTAATTATTTAGGCTATGATTGAGAGTATAGGAGGGATTTGGGAAAACTGAAGGAATGATAGTCCCCAACTTGAGCGAGGGGTTTATTTTTCTCTCAAATATGGTGGAATTTCCCTCTTTTCCTTCTCTCCCATCCAAACTCCCTAATAGAGACTTATTGTGTGTTTGGAACCGCATCAAGAAGACTTTTTATGTGCATCCAAGCAAAGCTACTATTTGTAGCTTCTTCAATTTTCACGTCAAACAAACATTAGGACGCGAGAAAGGCATCAGAAACGTGAACCCAAACAATGGCGTAGGCAATGTTTGGGAGTTGGGTTTTGGAGGAAAATGGAGGGGAAGACTTGTTTACCATTCCTAAATTAAAGAAGTTATATAATATAATATATATCTGGGAATATTAGAGTACAGTGGCAGCAAAGCATGTAACTGATTTGCATACAATTAGCAAGACAAAATTACAGTTAGGAAGAGGTTAGTTACAAAGCTCTAGAAAACTCTAGAAGGTTGTGACAACCATATGCTGAACTGTAACGAGTGTAACCAACTCAATTCAGTTCAAGTAATCTATAAATAGCAACTTAGCTGTTCTATTGTATTCAAGATTCATTTTCTGTTCAATACAATAACAGAATTACAATTTTTCTCTCTTCTAACAAACCTAAGAATAACTGTTATTCATCATTTCCCTCTTTCTATTAGTGAAGACAAATAAAAGGGCGTTTGAGCTATAAAATTATATCATCATCTATTACTTCATTCAATCAGGTATTTAAAACCTCAAATACATGTCAAGTTGTCAACATAGAGAATACTACAGACACAACTCCCCCAAGCCCTCCAAAATCCCTTTACCAAATAGACCCTTGGAGGTGTGTTAAGAGTCCTACATCGGACAATATATGACCTGAACACATGTTTATAAGTTGAGGCAATCCTCACCCTACAAGCCAATTTTGTAAGGTTGAGTTAGACCCAAGCACATTTCTTAATATGGTATCAGAGCTTGGCTTAAAATCTGATGGGCCACCTGCTATCAGGTTTCTACTATCAGGCCACCCGCCATTTATTTCTACACTCCAGTTGTCCACATTGGACAATATATGAACATGTGCTTATAAGTGGAGACAATCCTCACATCCTACAAGCTGGTTTTGTAGTATTGAGTTAGGCCCAACCACATTTCTTAATAAGGTGTTCTTACTCTCACTATCCTCCAATAAAATAGAATTTTAACATAAGATGGCATTTGCATTGTCTATGTATCATCAAGCCAAAGAACTCTTGCATTGTGGGGCTTGTAAGAGATGAAACATAAACCGGTTGAACGTTTTCACCCAACAGATTATGCGTTACTTATAGTTAGTTCATGACAGGATGCTAAATGTTATAGATTATATACCTTAATTTGAATTTAAAGTTAATTACACGTTCTTGTGTATCCTGTTTTGGCATTATTCATGTGCTAAATGATAATTTTATAGAAGAATTTTGGCTGAAAATATGAAATCAATACAAATAATTTAGAACATAAATCACAGCATGTCATGTGCTCATCTAGTGTTGAAATATCACTTGCTCCTTTATTTGTAAAATATGTTATAACTGTCATTTGTTAATCTAATATACATATGTGAGATGTTGTTTACACATATTTTCTCTTCATTAATAGATGGAGGAAGAAAAGGACATATTTGGTGATAATGATGCCAATGCTTCAGATTTCAGTGGTAAAATATGTGGCCCAATTGAGGCATCATTGAATGAGTCAATGTTTCAACTAGTTATTTCACAGTGGCGGCAGGCTTATGATGGTCTAAAGGAAACCAATGACTACAAGTTTCTATCTGCAGCTGGTTCTCTTTTGAAAAGCATGGTAATACAATCTACCAAGTCCTATGTATTTGTTTTATTATAATATATATGTACTTGGGCTCTTAACGGAGGCATCTAATGCTTTGCAAATCCTACCTCATTCCACTCATTCCATTTTGATTTGTATTCCATGTCTTTCATTTCACTTTATTATTATTTTGGTCAATTTTGCAGATTAGAACATTTATGCCTCTAATATATCGAGTTCCTTTATTTATATTCTCATCAAGTGCTTCCTAATTGCTCTTTCTTTATTTGCAGATTCGCATGCTGGATTTAGTACTAAAGTCGTTGCCAGATGACTCTAAGGAGCCGCAAACAGCCCGCATTCTTCTGTATAAGTTATTTTATGATCAGACTGAAGAAGGGATGACTCAATTCCTCTTGAATTTGATCAGAACGTTTGACACACACAAACAATGCAAAAGGTTTCGCCTCTTTACTTGAACCAAGAAAAATTTCACAGTATTTAACCATGAACATTTTATGAGCTTCTTTTCTAGCATACTAAATTAATCTTTTAGCAGATTTCCATACCTAGAATAATTGAAAAGCTACACAAAGGACATTTATGGATTGAGTAGTATATTTATGTCTTTATACAAGAATGAATTGCAGCATAACACCCTGGTTTGAGTGTGATAAAATAGATGAAAGCTTTATGCCAAGATGCTTTGTGTGATTTCCTTGCTGTCATAATCATTATTATTCTTTCTTACAGTGATCTTGCCGATTTGGTTGAAATCATTTGCAAAGTTGTGAAGCTAATGGATTATCTTCAGTCTCGGGGAACATTGAGGGTAAGTTGCAGTTATGTGTTGGTGTGTGTCTATTCTATCTGTGTTCACTCCACGATAAATTAATAGTAATAATAATAATAATGACAACGATGACGATATAACAGGATTAACACCAACAATAACCTTCACTTATATAGAATCTGTCCAAATGACTACAACATGCAAAGTTTTAATTGACTCTTTTGCTATCAAAAGAAAATTCTAATTATTTACATATAATGCGCGAGCATTTTTGAATCGAGTGTGATTTTATGGATGAAAATAGGTCAAATTGTCTATCGGGGGTTTATGGCGTTGCTTACACCAAGTTTTAGTTCACACTAGACTTGTTTACCAAATCGACTAGGTCAATACCATTTTGAAATCCTATCTAGCAAAAAAGGGCCAAATTTAGCTATTGAAATGCCTCTTAGACCTAATAGGCCGTTTATTTAAATATATAAATACTAAAATAATATTTGATATTTTTTTTGAAAAGAAGTAATATTTGATTGCTGTTATTACTATTATGAAGTTTTAAAATAATCTTTTAATCATTCTTATTGGCATGTTTAAGGATTTAAGAAAATTGGTCTATATGAAGACATAAGTTTGTAACCTTATTTAATGATAAGTTAGTAGTAGTGGGAGAGCGTCTTGAGAATCTGAGGCATAAAAGGGCTTGAACCCACACATCCAAGGTAGAAAAGACACAAATTAACCACTACACCAACCCATGTTTTATGAAATTAAATGAAAACGTTTATATATATTAGTATGAACTTAAACTTTCTCTGTAACTCGTTTTAGCTTTTTATTCATTTTTTATGTCCATTTTGATGATAATTTTATTATTTTACTCTTCCTTTCTCTGACTCTGTCCACCTCTCCCTCTCTTCCTCCCACTTGTCTTTTTCATACTAAGCATGTGTTACCAAGACATTCTTTCTCACATTTCATCCACTGTACTTATTATTTACATCTGCTATCTTTTTTGTCACTTTGTATGATAGATACAAGCTACTTAAAGACGAGACACTTTGGTATTTTTTTTTCCTTCTCATTTTTGTCCTCTCTACATTGGAAATTGTTTGTCCCTTGCTAAACCTACATCCTATATACTCCACTTTACGCCTTCTCAGGTGAAACCATGTGTTTCCAAGGCTTGTCGGTATTCTATCATATGCTTTTCTAAATATCCCTTAACAATATCTTCGATTGTTTCAATATACAAGCAATCCAAACATTTCTTTTCTGAAGTCTTCTTCAAAACTGTTTTCAATATTCTATGATATACTTCTCAATCAATAAAAAGTTGTTTTGATTGCCACAATATCTTTGCATTTATCTTTGTAACAAATGAGTTTCATGGTTTATCTTCCCTCATTAAACCAAATTGATACTCCCTCCTATCCTAAATAGAAGAGAAAGTCGAGTAAACTAAAGTTGATGTATTTTTTCTAAAGTTTAGCCTAAATACACCAAAGTTTGCTGACCCAACTCTCTCTTATAATTAGGACGAGGAATTTTTTTATGGTTCATTCTATGACTCATAAGTTTGATTCCTCTAGTTTGCACAATTATGCGCCCATCCTTTTGCTGTTAAAGATAGGGATTATAGTACTTTTCCACCATTAGTCATATTCTTAGACTTTATAATCAAGGTTATCTAATCAAGGAAAGAGCTTGTGTAATTATATCCTTTGAAATTTCGCAAATATGTTGCAATCTTTGCCAGAGCTTGTTGCATGGAAATGTTATTGTTTTCATGGTTTCCATAAATTTATTTGAGAATAGAGGAAAAGTGAAAGAAATAAAAAAAATTTGAAGTAAAAGAAATGGAAAAATATATATGTTTCCAATTCAATCATTTTAATTTGTTTCTTTGTTTTATGTCCTGTAATTCAAGGTGTCAAAAAAAGCAAGGAAGTTGAAAAGAAAAACTTCTAATGGCACAGAATCAGGGAATAAACAAACTGGAGATCATTCTTGTGTTAAAAAAGAAGCTGGCATTTCTATTGACAATCCATTAGGTGAAAACCATTTGCTACAGAAGGAATCCCTACCGAATGCAATCTCCACTGACCAAGAGGGCATCGCGGATGATAATGAACATGAAAGTCTCGACAAAGATGTAAACTCTCAAGTTCGCTTGGAATCAATGGAAAATACACATCTTGATGGTAATGAACATGAAAATGTCAAGGGAGATGTGAACTCCCAAGTTCATTTGGAATCAATGGAACACACACATCTTGATGATAATGAACATGAAAATGTCAAGGGAGATGTGAACTCCCATGTTCGTTTGGAATCAATGGAACACACACATCTTGATGATAATGAACATGAAAATGTCAAGGGAGATGTGAACTCCCATGTTCGTTTGGAATCAATGGAAAACACACATCTTGATGATAATGAACATGAAAATGTCATGGGAGATGTGAACTCCCAAGTTCGTTTGGAATCAATGGAAAACACACATCTTGATGATAATGAACATGATAATGTCAAGGGAGATGTGAACTTCCAAGTTGGTTTGGAATCTGTGAAAAAGACAAATCTTGATGATAATGAACACAAAAATGTTGAGGAAGATGTGAACTCCCAAGTTGGTTTAGAACCAATAGAAAACACAAATCTTGAACATCTTAATGAGGATATGTTGGATGACACTGGTGATTTTTCTGAAGATGAGCAATTAAATACAGTTAGTGAAGTTGATTTCAATGTTTCAACACTTGTCTCTGCTTTTGCAAATCACAGTATCATTCAGAAATTATGTTGGTTGCTCAAGTTTTATAAAAGCAACTCCCTTGCTATAAATCATTACATAATAAGCATGTTGCGGAGAATTAGTGATGAGCTTGAACTCCATCCCATGCTCTACCAGGTTTGGTCTTGAAAGAATTTCACCACCAATGAAATCATATAGTTGTTTATGAATGTGAATAACATTTCTAATCTTGTGAACATATTCTTGTAGTTGTCGCTGCTCACAACTTTCTACGATATTCTTGCTGAACAAAAGTCATGCCCCTGCAAGGAATATGCTAGTATTGTTGATTTCCTGAACAGTTTGGTCAGAAAGATGCTAAAGAAAATGAAAAAGCAGCCCCTTCTATTTGTTGAAATTCTATTTTGGAAGACCCGAAGGGAATGCCATTACATCAATGCAGAATATATGTTGGATGAACTTGGCCATTTGAGAAAAGAAAGTAAAAATTGGAATGATACTCGAGAAGGAGAAATAGGTTCCTCCCCAGTGAAGGCGCGGACTCATAGAAGCATTGCTGATGCACTTGGTGATGATGAAGCTGATGTCGTGATCTCTCATGACTCAAGATATCAAAAGTAAGATAAGATTATATCAAACTTTCTCATTTAAATTTCCCCTGGCTTTTAGGTTTTGTTTTTCTTTGTGAGATGTCCATTTTTAGAATGTGGGGCCAGTTTTCAGTTTATGCTTGATTGATCCATAGTTCATCTAGTAAAGATACTGCAATGAGACTGGTCTTATTTTTTAATTTTTATTTCAGCAATGGCGAAAAGCTTGATGACGTTGAAGGCTTTGCTTCTACCTCGGGAAGTAAGAATGGGAGAGACGTTAACAAGTATGTTTAAACTTTGAGATAAAAGTTTATTTAGATTTACAGTTTCTGATACTTGGTTTACTTGGATAACAGTGGGGAGCCATGGTTGGAAGATGAATTTCAAACAGCTCCGAGAAGAAAGAAAAAACTTGTTCTAGATGCTGAATTGGAGATGCAAATTAAGAATCTCTATGAGAAGTAGGTTTTACCTGCTCGATCCATATTTTCTGAAATCTGGTGCATGGTTTATATTAGAGATTCTATATTAAGCAGTTTAGCTTCTTTTTGTGTTTTTATACTATTCTCCACCCTTGGTGCAAACATAAAAGAGTCACAATGATAAATTAGTTAATTGTTTGTCAGTTTATTTATTTATTTATTTTGTCTTGTTTATAAGATTAGCATTCATTTTGATAATCGGTTCTTCCATGCCTCGAATATGTCAGATTCAAAGATGAACGAAATTGCAGTCGACGTATTGCTGAAGAGCTAGATCCAGATGGTAAAATTTCTCAAGCTCAAGTATCCAATAGGTTGAAAAAATTAGGGCTAACAACTGCATCAAGGAAAAAGAAGGACAATGCTAATGAGTCTTCCTCAACAAGCCCTAATCAATTAGAAGGTGCCGGAGTAGCCGGAGTTGTGAATTTAGAGGGAAGCCTGTTGGTTCAGCATCGGTGAGTATAGAATGAACTGCTATGCTTATTAAATATCTCTGGTTCACTAATAAACCACTATTAGTATTTTTTCCACAAAATTTATATTTCTTCTTTGATACATTAAGTTTCAGATTCATTGCTCATCCTAATTCAACAATTTGCTTATACTCATTGTATTAAATGTCAAGGCATTCTCTAAGTTTGTGTTCAATTCCATTTTCACAGGCAGAAAAGAAAAAGAGTCAGTGCTTTCAATGAAGATCAGGAAGCCCTTATCAAAGTTCTATATGAGCAGTAAGTACTTAACTCGGTTGCTTGATAGAGGACTGAATTTTCTCTCTGCTCACTTCTTGATGAATGCTGAATGAATAGTTAAAAAGTAGCATGTTTTCTGAGTTTTCTTATATTATTTTGCACAAGACAAGTAAAAGAATTATAGCCTGTGCTTTTCCTTTTAATATCTGGGATGTTACTTTGGCAGATTTAAGGACCATAGAAGATGTAGCTATATGATAGCCAATGCACTTGACGTGGTTGGTAAATTCACACCTGCCCAAATCTCTCGAAAACTTAAGCAACTTGGCTTATTCGTTCAACAAAAGAGTTTTAAAGGAAATACCCACAAAAAGGGTGAGGATCTTATGGATTATTCCAAGGATGGAATGGATAGATCGGATGAAGAGACATTGATATCATTGATAGAAAGGTAATGTTGCATTAATCTTAGTTTTATATAAATTTGAAGTATTAATACTTGTCTATTTATAAAATTATATTATTTAATCAGCATGCAGAATTCATTTCTAAACAACATATATACACATTTTTAATGGATTTTATTCTTCAATTTTATACATAGATATGCACTTGTTTTGAATTTCAATTTTTTTTTCAAATGCAACTTTATGTGTACCCTGCTGAATGAGTCCTTTTTTCTCCCTTTAATTATTGCTTTATTTAATTTTAGGAAAAAAGTGAAGAATCCAAGAAAATCAAGCAAACCATTACATGAACAGACCAATGAGGATAAGATGTCAAAAGATGGTTCTGATGATGAAATACTTGGCTCCATCCTCAAGTAATGTCCTCTATACTTCCTTTTCTGGGACCAGTAGTTTATCTATAATGACAGGATCTTAAATGTTTATGTTAATAATATAGTTTGAACTGGCGATTCTTCATGTTTCTGCTTCTATCTATTCAAGATCTGTCTCTCTTTCTCTTTCTTCCTTTTAATTATTGTTTTATTTAATTTTAGGAAAAAAGGGAAGAAAAGAAAAGCATCAAGCAAACAGGTACATGAACAGACTGGCGAGGATAAATTGTCAAAAGATGATTCTGATGATGAAATACTCGGCTCTATCCTCAAGTAATGCCCCCCTTTACTTCCTTCTCCTGGACTTGTTGTTTAATGATAACGATAGAACCTAAATGTTTTCTATTAGTAATTTAGTTTGAACTGATGATTCTTCAAGCTTCTGGTTCTATTCTACTATGACCTCCTGTTTCTGTATCTACAATTTTTTTTTTCTTTCTGAATTAACTAATGTTTTTTTTAATTAGGAAAAAAAAGAATAGATCTGTGTCTGGTGAACATTTACATAGAAACACCAATGAGGGTGAATTGTTTAGATACGATTCCGAAGATGAAATTCTTCAATCTGCGCTGAAGTAAGCATTCCATTCTTCATCTTTTCTATTCTAGTACTACTATAGACCTCCTGTCTCTCTATCTACAGTTTTTTTTCTTCAGAATTAACTATTTTTTTTTTTTTAATTAGGAAAAAAAAGAATAGATCTGTATCTGGTGACCATTTACATGAAAACACCGATAAGGGTGAGTTGTCTAGATATGATTCCGAAGATGAGATTCTTCAATCTGCACTGAAGTAAGTATTCCATTTTTTATTCTAGTTCTACTACAGACCTCCTGCCTCTGTATCTACAAATTTTTTTCTTTCAGAATTAACATAATGTTTTTTTAATTAGGATAAAAAAGAATAGATCTTTATCTGGTGAACATTTACATGAAAACACCAATGAGGGTGAATTGTCTAGATACGATTCCGAAGATGAAATTCTTCAATCTGCACTGAAGTAAGTATTCCATTCTTCATCTTTTCTACTCTGAATCTGATCTGAAATGTGTATATCAGGAATTGAGTTTGAGCTTTTAATTTTTCTTGCTTCTCCATATATCTGCTTCTACGTATAAAAAAAAACTATCATCAATTCTTCCATTTATACATGTTTAGTGTATTGAAATTTTTATAAAATCATGTTCTGCTGTTTATTTTCTCCCTCTGTTACACTAATGTCTTTCGCCATTTTTAACTAGGCAAACACACTATCAAACTTTTTGTATTTTTTTAAATGTTTTTAGCTGATTATTTTAATGGTTGAATCAAATGACATTCACAGTGAAAATCAAGTAGATTTTAAGAATTCCCAAGTAGAATATAAGCAAGTGGATCCTGATTTGGAAGATTCAGAGGATGACGTGGCTGTTAATGTACTTCCTGACAATGCTGTATCAAGAAGGAAGCTGAGAATGGTGATGGATCTTGAGGATGATGACTGATGTAGAACTATGGTTAGGATACTGGTTGGTTCCTTCATACTTGACCGTCTGCTTCCAATATGTACAAATATTATCTATTACTGATTATATAAGATTTGACCATTTTGTGTATAACTCTAGAAATATGTGAACACATTTGCGTGTGGTTTGAGAGTATGAGAATTGAATCATAGAAGGAAGTTAAAAGAGAAAAAAAGGACACTTCCGTTTTCTTGGCACAGAAACAATTGCATGATGTATAAAAACTATTATTGAAAACTAATTGTTTAAAGAAAAGGAATTATTTGTTTTTATATGAAGGAAAAAAATGCAGAAATGGGCTTCCTTATTTTAATTAAGAAAAATGATATTCCTATACCATTTCTTACACCTTACACCCAGTTTACTATTCACAAATACGTGAACAAAATGGTTAATAGTATCTATTTTATTGGTTAATGAAGTAGTGAAGGTGGTTAATAAATTATAGGTAAAATAATTGGTTAATGATGTAGATTTTTGTGGTTAATATAATTGTGAAGTTGGTTAATGCGCAATTTTATATTTATGTTATAAAATAAATTTTAAAAATAAATATTTTTTTTTAAAAAAAATTAATATTTTAAAAATCCAATAAACTTCGAGTGAAGACCTCGAAAATTTTCAAAAAAAATCCAGAACTATGCACTTAGAATCATACAAAAACACCTTAAACAAGTAACAAAGACATTTCATTCAATAAGGATGTATTTTTTACACAATTTTTCATTACAAAGTACTAGGGGTGTTCAAAACTGAACCCATCCAATAGAAAACCGCAAACCAAAGCAAACCAAAATCTCAAAAAACAACATTTGGTTTGGATTTGTTTGGGCCATTTTTTAACAAAATTGCATGGTTCGTTTTAGTTTGCGGTTTGTATTTTGCAAATTGAACTAACCCAAATCAAATTGCATCATGTTGCAATCTAAACTCCACTTATCCCACATCCAACGCAAAACTCAAACCTATTATTCCTTAACCTTACAATTACGAAATATTTTCTCTTCCTCGCACTTAGGTTTTCGGTTTCAACCTTCTCAAACTTTTCCTAATAGTATTGCACATTCTTCTCACCTTATTTGCCACGTACGTCTCGCCTCTTCTACATTAATCTCTCATCTCATATGTTCTTTCTTTTTCATTTTCTCATTTTTATGTTATTATTTCTCTCCTAATTACGTTTTTATCGCACCTTTCTTCTCTAATCTCACATCTCTTCTGTTCTTTCTTTTTCATCTTCTTTAATCTCCCATCTCCTCTGTTTTTTCTGTTTTATTATAATATTTTTGATATTTTTTTATGCTACTATTTTTTTCTCATTTGGTTAAACTATTTTTTGTTTATTGAATGATAAGTTTTTGTCTAAATATGATGAGTTTTACTGTTTTTTTGGTAATGTATGAATGACTTAACACAAAATTATGTTGTTCTCTATAGGTGTATGTAGGTTTGGTTTGGTTTGTTTATTTTTAAAGTCAACTGAACCAAATCGAACCACATACTTCTTTCTCTTGCGGTTCAGATGATTTTTAGCATCAAAACTGCCCAAACCGCACCGCAATTACCCTACGAAGTACTATCACGTACTTAAAAAAAAAGCTGGACAAGGACCCCGACAAACATACTTCCGCAGAGTAAGAATATTTCCATTTATGATGGCCTGATCCACTCGGATTTGATCTCTTAAAATCATCAAAGGATGGTGAAAAAACTCTGCTTGATCCAAAGCATTTTTGAATGATTGCGAAACTCCATCAAGGGTGGAACTCGTATAGTCCGTCAGCTGTTGGATTAATAAAGCATTCTGAGAGCGCAAAAGCTTTAATTTCTTATGAGCATCCCCCATAGTGCTTTGAAGAACAAACATAGTTTAATCTTTCATCGCCACGGTCCTCACCAACTAAGTTACCTGGTCGAAAAGAGAACTATCGAGCTTTAGGGGGAGCAAAACATCTCTCACCCCAAAAAGAGAGGTAAAAACTTCCTCTGCTTTATGCAAGTACCTATCATGCTGAAGTTTCAGGTCAAGAACGTTGTCCTTCATCTGTTGCTTTTTAGTGCAGTGCCAGTCGAACTAGAAAGCTTCCCGATGATTAGATGCACCAAGGGCCAAGGCATCTAAGGCTTGTCAGGTATATCTTTCTAGGTTGCCTATTTACTTCTCTAGGACAAGCCTAAAAACTTTAGTCAAATAAGCGCAATCCTCATCCAATGGAGAGATTTGACGACCTTCAGCAGAGGGGGAGGCAGATTTGCCAATAAAGAGCGAGCAATCTGAAAAAAGGCATTCAATGAAGTCGACAAGTTTTCCGCAACAACATTATTTCTGTCCAACCATACTCGTTTTTGGAGCTAAAACTGCTCTTCATTGCTCATACATTCTGCACACTAGCGAGGAAAATGTATACATTAGAGGCATACAAGTTAAAAATACCATAAAACTCAAGAATCTGATCCCAGAAAAAAATGATTTTTCTCACTTCCTGAGAGCGGGCTTTTACCAACAACTAGACGTCTTAAGCGTTTCTTATCAGCCTCTGTCACCGAGGTAACTCCATATATATATATATATATATATATATATATATATATATATATATATATATATATATATATTCAAGATTATTGAAAAACTTCACCAACCAACCTTTTTGATACTGAGCCTCTTTAGAGAGACCTTTTTCAATATAAACAAAAAAATTTTTCCACAACAGAAAGTGACCCTCAGTCCAATACTTGGAGAACTGGTCGATACATCTACCCTTCACTCCCTTACTAATGTCACAAATTGCAGCATGAGATTCGGGGTTGACGAGGATTACCAAAAAGAACTAATATTCAAAAGGAAGGAGCTCAGAAAGAGCTTCGAACCCATGAATGATTATCTTAAGGAGAAATAATCTTATACCCCTATTCTAAGACACCGAGTAACGAAGATAGTTAAAAAGTGAAGAAAATGGAACAAACAGGGTTTTCCAATCACACACTTATAACAATACTGATATAACCTCATGTATACCCAACAAGAAGGGTGAATTTGCGAAGGAGCCATGCCCGAGTGTTTCAGAACCCCTGTTTGAAAAGCAATGAAAGGGAGACGAAAGCCCGTGGTAAAAGAGCACACTTGTAAAAAAGAATGACACAAGCGCCATACTTGTCGCATATTCTTTCGTCTTCAAAAGGACTCACAATTTCTCTGCCAGAGTGTAAACCAACTTATGTAAAAGCACCATAAAGACCACATGGCATGACAAAAATAGAAACATAGGAGGAATAAACAAGATCCATCCAAGAAGATTGAATATTCTTTTAAGACTTGCGAATACTTTTTTGAAATTTCTTGTTCATAATGCACTAACTTTGTAGTTGTAGGAAATGAAAGACAAAAGAGAAAAAAACAGTTAAATTAGAAAAACAAAGACTCGAAAAAAGAATAAGATATTTATTTCTCTAAAAGAAAACTACGTCGTAGAAGGCAAAAAGCTTCACCAAACACTTCTAATCTCTAGCACGTAACACTCAAAGAAGTTTCGGCTCCCGGGAACTCTAATGATGATATCTATGAAAGATGTTTTAAACTAAGGAGCATTAAATACATGTTTCATTAAAAGAACTGAAACACTTCTCAATCATCTATCTTAAAAATAATCATAATTAAATGTTAGCCGGTATCCAGAGTTGTAATATCAAGCCTCTACCTTCCTATTTGACGGCAAAGACTTGAAAGACAACTGTCCTGGGCCGATCAAATCGATATTTGACGGGTTTGTGATGATGGCAAAGACTTGAGAGACAACTGTCCTGGGCCGATCAAATCGATCTCTGACGGGTTTGTGTCGAACACACCAAACCGAGCCAAAGAAAATAGATAAAGGTCTAACTTATTACAAAATCTTCCTAATGCACAAAACTTATCTTTCTAATGATCATCGGAAGATTTCAATTGTAAAACATCCAATGGTTCTTCGCAATTCACTCGTAACTAATAGCAAATTAGTTATTTCCTCTCTACCATATATAAAGAAGACACCAAAATCAAATTTCAAATATAATTTCGTTTCACTCTTCTCCATATACTGACTCGAGCGATGGAGTGCTAACATTACAAGCACCCCACTCCTCTGCATCAAAAGCCACAATCCTGTTCAACTTCTAATCTCTGATTCCAAAACGGAACAGAAACCAAAATCAAATATGACCTTTTGAACTGTATTCTAATATTATCTTAAAAACAATGGTTAAAAAAAGTTGTAAAAAATAAAAGTATACTAATTTTAGACATAAATTTATCCTTACCTCCATGAGAACTTCTTTTTTTTTTAAACAAAGATACAAACATAATTTGAAACAAACATCTCTCTTTTTTTTTTTTACAATAAATTTTCACTTATTTCCAACTCGTTTGAATGATTCTTAATGGTTTTCATGTAGTTATGTTAATAAAACCATGAGGCATGCGATGTTGGACCAGAGGCAGACCAGACTTGACAAATGGGACAATTTTCATAAAGTTGATCAAAACAGAGGGAAATCTTGATCATGACAGCCACATTATAATTAGAGACAATGTTGCAACCAAATCCCTTGCGACATATCCATTCTAAGTGGAAAAAAAATCAAAAATATATGTAGTCTGGTAACTATAAAACAAACAAGCAAATTGAATATACACATCCTACCTGTAGACACAGAATTTACAGAGTTAGTTGCAATATACATTATAATGAGAGAGACCAATAAATTACAACATAAAAATCCAATAGAACCTATTTAAACTCTCGCCAAAGAATGAAAAAGTCCAAGATAACAAAGGGGCACTATGATAGTAAAGATGTTACTCGGACAGAATTATCAGCTGATCCAGTCAAGAAAATGGGCAAAGTCGGATGCCAATCTACAGCAGTAATAGGGGCACCGTGAGAAAGTGTTCTCCAACCATTCAAATGATCCTGAACCTGACAAGATAATCAGACACTGAT